TAGTATACTACTACTACTACTACTACTACTACTACTACTACTACTACTACTACTACTACTACTACTACTACTACTACTACTACTACTACTACTACTAATATTCATTATATGTACAAACAAATTAGCCTTCCATCTCGCTCATTGTTTTTTATAAGCTACTGCGACAAGCGCGCCCTATATATGACGAACGACTGTATTTATTTTATAAATCGTTTTCTGATGACTAGCTGATATTTTCCCTGACGGTATGGGCTGAGCTCGACCCTTCAAGCACATTTCTTGCACCTTCAGAACAGCTCACGGATTACTGCAATAACAACAGAACGAATCAGGGAAGGAAGCTTACGAAGGAAGCTTACGAAGGAAGCTTACGAAGGAAGCTTACGCAGCTCATGCATCCGACATAAATCCGGAGGTACTGCCTAGCAGCTTCAGGTCGCTTGTGCGCAAGAACGAACTCAGATTTCCGCATGAGCACAAAGTCAGTATATTAATCTGTCGATTCACTATCCACGATGATCCGATGGTGTTGACGATTGGTTTCTGGTTAGATTTCTCCACGCTCGTGCACCCGAGCTCGCGTGCGTGCGTGCGCTCACGCATGCGTGTAAATATACACAGGCGCATAACTGCATGCCCACTGCGTATACGCGCATACATGTGGGCGGCAGCGTGTGTACGCATCACGTCTGACGTTGGTTAACAATAAACGATTAAAATTACAACATTTTGCAGCTGCCTTAGTGTTTCCTTTGCAAAATTATGCGTTTTCACAAAAATTCGTTCACAAAAAACCCCGTATATTGTTCTTGATGACATGTCGAAATAAAAAAAATCATAAAACTAAAAACTTAGTCGATCAGTCCAACTTTCGGCATTGCCATGAGAAGTAGCATAAAAATACTCCTTGCGATAAATGTAAACAAAAACATAAATCAGACATTAAAAAAAAATTCTATTTATTCCTCATAACTAGCTGAACAATAGATATACCAGTGTAACATAGATAAGGTAAATTATCAATATGCGCAAGCTAGAATATCGGTAGTCTTAATTTAACGGAGTCATCCGTCCGGTGAAAGAGTTATTAATCACGATGAGAACCTAAATAATGTTTACTGAAGGCCAATAAATTGCGGGTTTCTGCTAATTAACATACAGGTGCTCAAGATATGCCTAAAGCCCGGCGCACACGTGAGTAATTTTACTCAAGTAAAATGATGCATGCGTCAAAATACTCACGCGAAATATTTTCAGCGTCCGCCGCATACGTGAGTAAAATTACTCAAGGTATAAGTGGTAATGTAGATCACGTGACTGTGCGCAGCCAATACTGGGCGCAGTCATTCTTAAAACGATTTAAACGCATGCGCTGTGAGTACCAGTGTTGAGTAAATTTACGCAGCTAGCGTGCACACGTTGAGTATTTTGACGCATGAGTCAAAAATTATCAAACAGGTTTGATATTGAGTTTTTTGATGCATGCATGCGTCAGAAAACTCAACAAAAATCCGGCGCACACGTGAGTATTTTGACGCATGTATCATTTTACTTGAGTAAAATTACTCACGTGTGCGCCGGGCCAAAGAGTCTATATAGGTTATATTTATATTAATATAGGCTCTTTGGCCGGGCTTAAGAGCTCATCGTGGTTATTGTAGCGTTCTGTGGCATCGCGACACCGGCACGCGCTGGCATTAGTTGTTCTAAGATTAATAACGTGATGTGTATACTAATTATCGTTATTACTTAGATATAATTCATACAATCCATATTTAAATAACAATTTATCACTGCATATATGTTACTGAAGTCTAAATGATATCACTGTCGTCTTCATTCCATTTCACATACGTTCATAAAATGTTACACGTACCGCAAATCCTCACAACGGTCTAAACAGCTAAATTTCCTATTAGAAGCGCCATAAAATCTCAATTCAATATTAAATAATCGATTCGACGTTATGTGACAAGAATTCACCTTTTACATAAACTACATTCTGTTTCCATTTCACTAGACTTAAGCTAGCGAAGGAGCGCGCTACGTCTTTGTGACCATACTTCGGTTTTCACATCTTCCTGTGCAATAATGTGCCTTATATACTCTGTAAAATGTTTTGCATATTTGGTGGGTTAACATTCACTATTCGCTGATCATCATTACTTGATCATGCTCATAATTACATCTGCTGACGTGAGCACTATTTGCTAACAACGACGATATCTCACTACACACACACACACACACACACACACACA